GTAGTCGGCTCTTTGCGCAATTGCAACAACTGAAATCTCGTCCAAATACCGCCCCATGTCATTCCCGTCATGGCAATCTCGTACAACCTCTAGTTTCATCACATTTGAAGAGCCTCATTTTCGCTAAAAACCGGCGATTTTCTCGCTATCTTCACCGTTGATGCACTATTCCCAACCAATACTCCCGCTTCACGACTTAGAAAGGGTACTTCGAAATTATTGACAACTATACCTCAGAGAATCATCAACGAGCTCATGCGAAGATCTACGCATACAACTTGTTTTCTATGATGAGCATGGCTTTATTATGTCAAAAACTGAGAGTTGCCGAGTGTCATGTGTGCACTTACGAAAATAGGATGGATAAATTTCGATATCTAAGCAGTGGAATTCTATTGGAATCCTGTCCACCATAATATAAAATGTTCTTTTCAGATTTCCTACAGTATCCAACTGATGATGGCTCTTTCCAAGGTGACAATTCGGAGTTATTTGAACGAGATGTTGTAAGTCTGTTTCCATACGTAGTTATTGCTATTGCCTGAAACTCTTAAAGTTTATTGCCCTTACAGAACACACTCAACCGTTGCTTTGACGATATCGAGAGATTTGTGGCACGAATTCAGTCAGCTGCGTTCGCTCAAAGGGAACTTGAACAACAGGTGAGTAACCGCCAGGTACTGAGCCCCTGGGGTGGAGGGTAGCGCGTGTAGACAAAGAAACACTGAAAAGTCGAGTGGACTTTCTCGGAGTAGACAGCCGCTGGGTCCGACTTGAACAATTCCCAGAATATATGGGCTGTAGTTGGATGGGTAGGGGACCGTTAAAACAGTTCATCGAATCGTCATTCTGTTCCCAACCTACGTCTTACAAATAAATTGGTGATGATGGGTTGCTGGAGATAGTTAGAGGTTCAGGGAAGTGGGTAGGGAGGAAATCTATTGAAAAGGCGAGCAAGGGGGAGAAATGGTATAACCTCAGCAGGTTTGATGTCTTCACCTGAGAAGAGCGATGATTTGCTTTTTTTCCTGGGGCAGGGCTTATTTAATCTTCACGGGTAGTCCAATTGAGCTGTTCGTACACACAGGTCTCAGTAGAACTACGTATGTGGGCCTTCCACTTGGAGCTCTCACACTTCAACTGTCCAACTGTCCTTCAGATTTGGTTTTTCAGGCACATCGCTACAGAACTGCCATGCGTCGTGACAAACGAAATGGTCCACCACCTCCAGATCCGAATGGCATTCTTCAAATGCGAGCGCAGCTACCCATAGAACCTGAATTTGTCGATATTTTCAGGAAATTCAAACTCAGCTTCAATTTGCTGGTGAGCTCTGGATAAGCTAATATCGTTAGATGAGCAACAAGAACGAGTAATTTTCAGGCCAAACTCAAGAACCATATCCATGAACCGAATGCTCCTGAACTGCTACATTTTCTCTTTACACCTTTGACCGTTATTCTAGAAGCGTGCCACTGGGGTCTCGGACGAAATATTGCTCCTCAGGTAGCTTTGCCTTTTGATGACCGTAAAAACTTGACGACTAATAGGCTCGACATTAATGATCTCCTTCAGATTGTTTCACCTTTGCTGTCGTTGGAAGCACGCGAGCTCATGCAGAATTGTTTGACTAGCAAGGAATCAGACGTGTGGATGAGCCTCGGCGAAACATGGAGAACACCACCGTGAGTGGATTCATCCCTTCCCAAGAGAACGAAGGAGAAACCCTTGTAGAAGTTGGATACGACTCTGAGGGACTGAGTAGAGCCTTCCGATCTCTCCTCTACGGTGCCCTTGTCCATGAATTCTGGTAGGAGATCGATTCTTTGCGGGAGGTGCTAAACTTCCCTTGGCCAGAATGATGCGCAAAAATAGTTTCGGTGAGGGTCCTCCTCTGCTAATAGCAGTAGTGAAGAATGTGGGCATTGGAAATGTTCATTTGTTACCTATCAGGGTAGTCAGTCATCTATTTCTTTGTGATAATCGCTAGATGAACGAGTTTTGGGGTCCCATTTGATATCACTGCTTCTCTACCTTGAGCTCACCTTATAGATAATATTGAAGACTGAATGAAAAGAGATTTTCAGAGAGGACTGGGTGGGACCGCTTCCACCACCATACAAGCCGGTGTTCGTCGATGGGTTCGCACCGTATGGCCTACCTGAACAGCAACGAATTCCATCACATTCACTCGGTTATCCAATGCCTCTTCATCGTGGTGAATCGGCTCCACCCGTACAATATCGTCCATCTCCACGAGACCGAAGTGTCGATACGGTATGTAGCTTATAGTCAACTCAAGCATGCCTATCCTTTCTTTTAATCTTTCCTGTGCTGTCTTAAGGTATCCAGGGGCATCAGTAATTCAGTCTTTCTACATGTCATTTGTGTGATGCACTCTTTATACTTGGCTGTCCCTAAGTCGTTTTCTTGAAAATTTCTGAAATACTTTTCCAATTAGGCATGGATAAAGTGAAAAATAGATTTGACCAAAAACTTAGCAAGCTCTGGAAAATAGCTGGACAGGGGTCATAGACTTAGCTCAATAAGTTCAGAAGCAGTAGCAGTCTTCTGAAACATTTTTTGACGTCCTGATTGTGAATGTTACAAGTTTTAACTTTTCAAAAATAACCTGAAACAGATGAAAGGATTTCATTTCAAGGCTGGGGATTGGATGACTTGCTTATCCAAAGTTGACCCTCTTCCTTGTGTCTTCACCAGTCCATAAATGCTCGTCCTGCACGGAATTGCACATCAACTATTTTTTTATTACTTTCACTTCGAACAGTCCTAAAATTTCGGGACCAGTTCCAATTTCTTCTCTCAAAATGCAAATCGTTGCCTCTGGTCATATTCCTATCTATTTTTAATGCATGTTTGAATTCTATCCTGAAAGGATTTTCGGATACAGTAGTATGTCGACTAATATCATAGGCTCCATCGACGCCTTTGAACAACAGAACGAAAGGGCGCCCACAGCGGAACATGAGTGTCGACAATGTGAGTGTGCTATCCCGCATGTTTCTCTCTTCTTATCTTTCCCTTTGTTTCCTACCTTTTGGGATTTTATATGGAAAGTATCGAAATTACACCGGATAGCTCGCTTTTCAGCTCGATCTCGATCGGCTCTCTCTCGAACGAGAACGTCTCGATTTTGAGAGGCAGAAAATGTTGGAAAGGGAACGGCGGCTACTTGACGAGGAGAAAATCATCAAGTGAGTCGTCTTTCCCGTTTCATTCCTACCAGATCCGAGCAATGGGGAAGGGGCAGTAAGTTGGGTCTTCGAGTTTCGGGATGATTCACTGATTTCTCCGCTCGCCGGCTGGTGCCAAACGCGAACGCCCTTCTGTTAACAGAGTAGGGTGCAGTGCTGCAAGCTTTACAGGGGTGTTTCAAGGGTTACGAAATGCATTTGTTATGATCTTTGAATAAGAGAAATGTCCCATCAGTCATATTCGCGGTCCCATCCGATTAAATTATCTAGGGATTGCCTCAATAGGTGAATTTTCTGGTTGATTACAATTACTTTCCCAAGGGAGGATGTAGACGTATAACCAAAGATTTCCACTGATCACTGAAATCTCCATAAATGTCCTATATCGATTTCAAAGTACTTTTCTATTCCAGGGCAGAGAGAGCTCGTTTGGAAGCTGAACGAAAGTTGATGAAGCACGAATCCGAATCGATGAATGCCAATCGTTCCAAATCCATCTATGAACCGTGAGTTCAGGGAATCTTGAGCTTAGCTGGAATAGACTGGGGAAGAGGCGATATTTAGGGGATTATAAATGAATCTCTGGGTAAACATAGCACAGAATCAGTAAACCATCTCCTCATTTCTTTTTTATTTATTTTGAATTGAGTTGGATGGATTTGCAAAATCAGGGGGAATATACTGAATCTCCGATGATCATGGCACTAATTTATGAGCCCTAATTGATGATCACTCCTTGAAAAACTGGCATTTTCTGTAATCGTAGCTGATTTATTCTCTTTACTCAAGCGGTAGCCCTCAGTTCCTGATTCAAGGGGCCCCAATTCTACTTATAATTTTCTTTCTGGTAGAAAGCTCACGCACTTTCGGAAACTTCTCTCTAATCAGTCTCAGTTCTATTCTTGACAGGAGATTCCTTAGGTAGAACGATAAAGTCAAAGATAAGACGGTAGTTGGAGAAAGTGCCGGAAACGGTAGACAAGTGAATGAAAGAAAAGAAGTTACAGAGCATATAGAAAGGCACTGGATAATAGAAGAATTTAGTTTTGATTTTAGTCCGCCTTCATCTCAAGCGTCTCCCATGCCTGCACGTGGAAATCTTCGCCCAGTGATGCTTCCTGATTTAGGCGATCAGTCACCTAGGCAACGGTAGAAAATCAGTCTTAAATTTGTAGCTCATCGTGGTCAATTGAGGGACCAAACAGTTTCTTACATGGGTCCAGAATGGTGTATAAAGAGTTTACTTATCGAAATGTTTTTAGGGCGTTTGTGGAGGATGCCATTGGACGAGGTGGTAAACTAGTGGTGGCTACGTTTGATCGGGTCGCCCAGAATGCTAAAGAACTGACCGTTAGCCGTGGTGAATATCTTGAGGTAAGTTAAATGTTCCCCATTCTCACTACATACATCCAGCGAACAGCTTTGTCTTTGATTTCTGCGCCGACACTGAAGTGCACGAGTCTCAGCGCGCCCGCCAAAGACAGCGTGTTTATACTCGAAGCGGACTCTAAACTGTGATATCAATTGACGCTCACTTTTCGCGTTCGTGCTGTCAGATTCTGATCTGTGAGGCATTCAGAAAGGTCTGGCTCATGACAATAGAGTGGCTAGGACATGCCTAATTGGATCGAGATCCGCCTAGGCCAACTATTACTTCCACTCCTACGGGTTCGGTCAATTGGTGCCACACTCGTCTGGGAACGAAGCAGTGTCATGTACATCGCCTAGCCACCGTTATTCATTGTAAGGGCTAAACACATTCCTAAGGGCTATCCCAAAAAGAAAGCGCAGAAAAAGGCACGACTCAAGCTTCTTCCCGCTAAAAATGAACACTTTCGTTTTCTAGAGCAACGCCAACCATTCTATCGATCTAAACTTTGATTAATGCTGGTCCTTTGCAGGTTCTCGAAGACACCAAGAACTGGTGGGAATGCCGTAATGTACACCAGAGGGTTGGCTATGTTCCCCATACCATATTATCGATGGTTCCTTTGGAGCCCGCCGACAATCGCGATGTCTATGTAAGTCTATGGATCCCTTCCTGCCGCAGCTTTCATTCATGACCGATTGTTCCAGGGAAGCCGGGACAATTCCTCAATGCCGAATGGTCACGCTCATGGCAGTAGTCCGAAGCCAGGTATGCTGCCCGACGATGCGCCCCCATACGTGAAAGAACGTCAGGGTCGGCGTGGAGAGTTCCGATATTTCTGAAATGAACCCTAGACTTGTGATTTTTACATTTTCCAAAATCTGCATTGGATCTGTATGCTGCGGCCAGCCCAGACTGTTCGTATTTATTTCGTATTTTGCCTCTTGGTTAATTGATTTGCCCGGCTTTCGCTAACCTTAATAGTATCGCAGTTTTGTTGCGGTTATCGCTGGCATTTCGCGCCTTCGCATGCTCAAATGCTTGTGTTTCGTTGGTGTCTTCACCTAGCCATTTGTGGGAAGAGGAACCGGGGACAGGCTGTTCCAGAAAGGCAGAAGTACTTCCGGCCTTTCCCAATGCCTGCATGTTGAAGTCTTCACCTAACACACGCATCGTCAGTACTAATCATATACATGTTGTGGTCACACCAGACATTCCGCCTCACACCTTCACTCTCATTCACTTCACTACCCTTTCTCCTTCACTACTCACCCTTCACCCCTAACCATTCCCATCGGTTGTTCCACGGTGATCAACGTCGCCACCCACTCACATGTTCGTCGTCCTTATGCACTCAGGACTGAAGCGTAGCATGACAGTCTGCAACTAAAGCCATTTTCACATCCCTACTGCACTACTACTGGCTCACCACAAAGTGAATTCCCCCTCGTGCAGATGATTATTATCGTGATACTTTATATATAGCTGCTATAGATGAACCATATATCTAACTGATTCTGAGCTTTTCCCTTCGTCGTCACCACTTTCTTCATAGATGCTTTTTGTCAACAGAAGCATACACGCGATGATGTCGTATTATTCAGCTCAAGCTATTCTCTTGACATAGTGCCTTTTTCATTCATGTTCCGTATGTAAAGTGAATGAATTTTTTTACCTGGTTTCAATATTGTTCCCACAGAACACACAGTCATGTAAAGATAGTACTGACGATGCGCGACAACAAAAATCAGGGAAGAATTGGGATCCCTCATGTCGCAACACCCCTTAATCCCCTTCTGTACCCTCGCTCTATCGCGGATATCCAGCGGGAACCAAACAGGCGGCGAAGAGAAGCATGACGTGCTGTGCCAAAAGCCCATTCGTATTATATCATATCCCATGTGGGCAGCTTTTTTCCCTGAACCGAAAAGGATTCACGCAGCAGACGTAGGAGCTCAATATCTGCGAAAGTCAATCAAACATTAAAACTACATGATATGAACTGAGCAACCTAAATTAGGACGTTGTCGGTGGCTACTTTATGTCGAGGTCCTCCTCTTAAGAAATCAAGCAAAGCCATCCGCCTCTTGCCCGTCATAAATAAGATTCTTTCTTTTGTCATTTCAACGGGCACCCAATAAAATAGGTGCAAAATTCCCCAAAACATGCTCCCATCGAATGCTAGATAACCCAACAGCGAGTTGGTATTTGTTCCAATCTTGAGGTGGAATGATCGTGGTTTGGAGAAAATCGATCTTTACTTTTGCCTTTGTTCTTTTGTCAGAAAAGCCCAGCAAAACCATGCGTTCACTGTTTTAATATTCCATCCGCACAAAAGCTTCAGAGTCAATGAGATCATTCGGTTCTCTAAAAAAGGCAAAGTGTTGTGAAGGAATAGGGGTCCCGTAATAATCTTTTTTTCTGACAATCTTCGAACACTATCTTATCTATTTTGGTTGCTGCGCGTGGTCTGCTCTTGAACAGTTCGAATAGCCTTTTATGGTACTCTAGGTGTTGAGAGGTGTTGAATGAAAGCTGCGTACTTCTTGTGCAAACTAGGCTTTCAAAACTGATGTGCTCTCAAGACTTTCGCGACAGCTCAAAAACCGGAGACAGTTGCTCGGTTGGCCGAATCGGAAACACCAGTCAAAGGGATGTGGCAGCAGAAAAAGCTTTTGGCTTACACATTATGCCCTCTAACTGCTTACATAATCTGTTCTGATTTCTTTAGTGATTTCCTTTTGTAAGTATGCGGGTACTTCCACCCCTCAGTCGGGCTTCATCACGCTGTGCGATATTTCTTTTGGGTGTGTCCGACTGTCGTATCAATGCTTATCTCTCCTATTCTTGTATCTGTTCAACATTCCACTCTTCAATGAAACAAATCATAATGTAAGAGGGCGGTGGCAAAAAGAAAAACCAAGCCGAGACCGAAGACATGGAAATCAGTTCAAAGTTCCAATATGGCTGCTTTCATAGTCCGCCGGCGTGCCAGCCGAGGTAGTGCTAGGGAAGGGGAGAGGCAGGCGGTCGGTCGACGCGGTCGTGTCGTGCCCGAACCCCTTCGAAGTGCTGAAAACAAAGAAGAACAAGACGAAAAACCATTTGCACAAGCCCCTGGTTGTTTGGTTTTTGGTCTTGTTTTTCTTTGTTTTCAGCCCTTCGAAGAGGCTTGGGCGCGACACGACCGCGTCGATCGGCCGCCTGCCTCCCTCCTCCCCCCTATCACCACCTCGGGTAGCACGCCGGCACGCCGACTATGAAAGCAACCATTGATCAACGCCCCAAGATTTATCCTCTATCCTTTATCCTTTATCAGACTTCCGAACCGAAAAATACTGCTGTGCAAGACGTAGGAACGAAAACAACCTAAGATTGCTGTACCTTTGCCAGATAACATAGCTCAATGGAATGAATGGCAGACCAAGGAAGTACTACCACTATATTGCACAGGGAGCAACTGTCAGTTAGTCGAAATAAAATTACTAGATATGACATTTCCATTCGAAGGTACTGATTACATATACGTCTTCACGATTTGTCCTGGTTCTTCGGAAGAATGACGCGGTTTCTACTAGGGTGTGTGATCACCACGAACAGCAATATATGCTCTGCAAGGCGATCCCATACTTATCACGAGCTTGGCACTGAGTTCCGTGGTAGAGCAGTCCATTCTTCTATCAGCGCATTTGACATTGCTGGATGGTCCTTTGTGTATTTGAACTTACTGCAATGCGCCTATCCAGTGCAACCCACATGTGCTCGATGGGATTCAGATTGGCGGAATGAGAGCCACTCTATTTACCTCTTGATCTCTCGTTCCAGGAGTTCTTCCACCTCTGCAGTTTGATGCGTTATTGCTTTGTCATCCATCAATAAAATAAAAGACGCATATAGGCAAGGGGTACCTCGTCACAGTAACGTTGACGGGTAAGAGCTTGACGCTCAGAAAGCTCGAGGTCATTAAGGCTCTGCAGCATGATGCCTTCTCATACCATAACACCTCGACCACCAGTAGGATCACATTCGACAATGTTTTTGGTAGAGTTACGTGTCCCACTTTTGCCACATGAGAACGCCCAGAATCACTACTCAGACTGAATCCGCTTTCATCCAAAAAGAGCACACGGCTCCATTCCTCATCGGTCCATTCGCTATGCGTAAACGGTCTCGCCGATGGCCGGGGGTCAAAAGAACATAACGGTCGTCGGGCAAAGTGACCGCCATCATGCAGTCCTTGTGCCCCTGTAGTGCCCAAATGGCTTGCCCTAAAATTCTGTTAGATGCCATTGCAATCACTGAAGCTGATTTGGGTGGATCTCTTCTCGCCCGCTGCTTAGTATAGCGGTCATTCCTTGGCGTAGTTGATCTTGGTCACTATTCTCCTCTCCTGCAGGCAGCACTATCAGAGGTTTGGAACGCTCTCCATGCACGTGAAACAATACTGTGAGTAATCTCGCTTTCCTGGGTTACAGTTCATGGTTCTACCCTCCCCGCTTTCCCGATGATCCTTCGTCGTGTGAAGTCATCCACATGACGTCTGCAGAACATCTTTTGTTGAAGATACCACCACAGTACTTTGTAGCTAGCTACTCGTTGGTTGACAAAACCATCTCATATCTCTATTCGTTCTTATTTCGCGCCTTGATCAAGCTCCTTTTTTACGGAGAGAAACCCTGTATCCTGTGCGTAACTGTTATTCGTCTAGCAATGTGCTCTCCAGTTTCATTTAATTCCCCATTTCCGTTAAAGTCTGATTTTGATTTATTCATGTCGTCCCTAAGTTTTCTACACAAGTATAGTATTGATGGTAGAGGAGGGGGAATTCAATAGCGGCTAGTATTATCTGAATTCCTTGAGCGTTCTTGCAATTTAGCCCTAATCGCCGTTAATGCACGAAGTTGGTGTCGGACGAGAGTCGAACCCGTGCTTGTGCTTTCCAACCACCATGCTCTATCTTTCTTTCACATTGCAGAATATATGCCCTCTGCTTCCTCCTTGAGATATTGATATGCCCCATGTTTTGGATTCGGAACGGGACTGTAGATTTTGCAAATCATATTGTAGTTCTTATTTATTGTTGCCCTGCAGAAAGTTTTCATCTTCAGTCTTATTAATATTAGGTAGGAAGATAAGCCTTGCAACACTACCCACACAAGTTTTAGAATTTTGCATTCATTAATTTTATTTATATTTATTTTGTAATTTTGTAATTTAATATTTTTCCCCATGTCGGACTTTTATTTGATCTGGGCATGATGAAAGCAAATTCGACGTTAGTTGGCTTAGCCTCCGAGATTGTTAATAACGCTTTATTCACAGCTTCGTCGGAATCGCCTTATTTGGAGTCTGCAAATCGAAAATATATTTGTTATTCCTAGGTGACCTTTTCAAAAGGACACCCTAAGGGTAGCAAGCGGAAGCCATGAAGGTGACCTGTAATGGAGTAAAGCTGTTTATCGGCGTTGTGTGCCCGAAGCTCCTCCCAGCGTTTTCATATATGCTGGGGCCTAGAGGTCAATTTTCGCTAACATTCATATTTTATTAATTCTACATTTGAAGGGGAGCTTTGGTTTTCCCTGAAGTAGCATGTTCAAAGTGTTGCAGGACTTATCTTCCAACCTAGTAGAATGTTCTAATAAGGGGTCACCACAGTAGGCTGCATGAATTCCTGCTCGACGAGCTGGAAGTTGAACATGAAGCGTGCAGAGATTATTGTGGCGTTTTTAAGACATTCTCAAGCTTGTTCTTTAAATCAAGGGTGTAGTCTAGAGTATTAGTAATTATTAAGAAGTTGCCCATCTTGCATAATTGCAGCTCAGTCATCGGAAGCCGCCGTTCAAGCCAACGTTTATCCATCGAACGCGAACGCTCATGCGGTAAGCAAACTTTGTTGAAGGCTTTTCATAAAATTCATGATGGAGATCAGGGAATATCATAAAAAATTTCCAAAACAGTCGCTTGTGAAATCAATTTTTTATTCACTTGTTTGAACAACTTTGAATAAGGCTTTCAAACTTAGCTGGATGCCTTCGTGGGTTTTATAAAAACGGCTAATTCATCGCAAATTTGCGTAGTACAGGGTGCAGCAAAAGTTCTGGCAAAGACCCGTTTCTGGTTCTCCATAAAAGTGAGGCATTCGATCTCGACAAGATCTGTACTACAATCTATTTACTGCAAGCCTTCTTCTATACATTCCATGAATCGGCCGTTCTTAAATATGCCATTAACAGAATGGTGTGATACTTGCACGTTCCAACACCAATACAACAACAAACTTTATTAACAACACAACAAAAAAAATACACAGAAGACAACGAGCAAAGAAGGCGAGATTCGCGGAGTGGAAGTGAAAGAGACGACGACCACTGAGGTCGCAACGGGGAGGAAAACTTATGAGAATAAGCGGCCTACTTCGGACCGCACAGACAGTCGACTGAACTCTCGACTCGCTGACATACACACTTCATTGATAACTATTGATACGACTTACGCGTTTTGCCCTGGCCGGCTAACTCGTTTACTAGGGGGGCCTACTAGATCATCTTTTCCGAACATCCCTCCCCGTCGGGTTGCCGACGTCCTCGGCGGCGCATGCATAGGTGGTGTCGTTATAGAGGATGCTATCATCCTTATATTCTCATATAGGTATCTTGCATTAGCCACCCCTGCGTATTTTCCGAAAAACTGCCAGCATGCTTCTGGCGATCCGAGTTCCACATATGCTTTTCCATCAATCAGTTTTGTGCTGGCTGTTGCGCGGAACTGTCCTTTGCCAGCGCCTTTTTCCAGTGTTTCGTCTAGTGCTCCAAATGTCGTACATTTTTGTCCACGCTTGGGCATTCTCGTGTGAACATGGTGTCCATGCGGACACGATCCTTCCCCCTTCTTGAAAGTGTTGTGCACATTTTGCGGTGATTTCGGTTATTTCGGCCTTTTCCCAGTTGGTGTCAATTGGCCATACAATCACCCGAATTCCGAAAGAATGCCATTCCTTGAGTTTCTCCCGTAAAGCTTTGAACGTCTTCACAATTGTTGTTTGAATGCCTCCCCGCATTCCATCACTTTCTAGTACTGCTGCACATTCTGGTGCGGCATACATGGTGGGTCCTTCTTTTACTGCTCTAGTCTCTCTGGACTCTTCATTCAGTTCATTTTTCATTTCTTTCAAAGCTCTGTTGTACATGTCTT